AGCGTTGGTGTACATACAGGAAAGTTTTTCGGATGGCAAAAGCTGTTGACTAGGAGCACATGAATGATGTGGATTTGTGCCGACCGATGAGAGGCCGGCATCTAATCGATTTTTGTGTGAGTTGCCAAATCTCGGTAGGAATGCAAGCTGTTTTTGGTTTCACTTGTACCTGCGGTATGTAGTCCATCGGCAGTCTTCTCGATAGTTACGGGTCTTAGCGCACAGGTTTCTGAATCGCTGTTGTGGTTATATTGAGTAGCGGGTGGTGTCGTTTCCGCTAGAACAGCGAGTGGCTGCGGCTGTCTAACTGCTGTCTTCAGTCGTAGTTCCGAAGGAAGTTTGTTGCGTAGTAACTGCCAGCTACGGATTAAGTTCATGGCCATCTGTTTTGATTGCATCGTTAGTTTCAATATACTCCGGCCACTGCTTCCTTAGTTTGGTGATACGGGCAACCGTGTAATCGACTGAAGTATGACGTCGCCCGCACAGAGAGCTTCACGGAGGTAACGCCATTCTTCCAGGTCATGAGCGTGGACTTCTTCGTTGCTGGTTGTCGGTAGCTCATGCACGCCATGAACGAAAATAATTCCTTTGCTACTCTCCACTTGGTGGCCGTTTGGTTTATGTTTGTCCCGCTGGCATTCGCTTCATGGAACATCCTGACATATGCGTATTCTACTGTTTTCAGTTCGCAGGTGATATGCAGACGAAAGCACCGTCTCTACATCTTCTATTGATCCCAATGTTACTCGCATTAACCGGTGCTCCCCATAACGATTCGAGGTTGGATGTCTAGTGATGCGCATTATATTAGTCGGGCTGACTTGAACTCCCATTTTGTCATAAATTTCAATTGCTTCAAATCATCCAGCTGTTTACTCCTTAACGAATTTGCCCTGGACTCAGGAACCTTGGTGCATATAAGTGTCAGGGCACCGTAGTTCCGACTGGTCTTCGGTGACGTGGGAAGCACGGTTATCGAGGGACTTAGTGACATCACTTCAGGTTGAACGTGGTCCTTCACTCGTTTTGTGGCTGTACTGGCTGAGGCTACTGAGGTGGCGCTATGATTATACCGAGCAGCAACGGTTGCATAGGTTGATTGGTCTTTAGAGCGCTTCGGATTCCGTCGGTCAATCGGAAGGGTGGGTGTTACCGATGTTGCATCAGTCGATACATTGAATAAGAGGATGTTGGTGGTGGGTCTAGGCATGCATCTATCGGTCGCGACGACGACGGTTCGTGGTTCCCAAGGTTTTTAGTACTGCGTGACCGTGTGAACGCCTGATCTTTTTCCTTGGTTTTGAGGCAGTACTTGGGGAGACGAATGAGGTGCAAGATGCGCTATTGTCGCTTCGAGCGAAGAAGTTTTTGCATACAAAGGAGGTTCAGTTTCGGCGACTAGACTGTCGTCCTTTTGTGTTAACCTTAGTACGGATTCCATTAGTGGAACTGTCGTGCACTTCGGATAGAACCAAAGTGAACCCGGCACATTGTATTTCATCATGTCGGTTCTACAGACGTTGACGGATTTCGAATGGTACCGGTCTTGGTAATTTGTACAAGTCAATCATCCTTTCTACACTTTAACACAAGTTTGATTAGCACAAAATGCTTCGTTTCGGGTTACTAGTGTGGTGGTCATGATGGCCGACTACTGTAGAACAAATCCAAGATGGCGGACACAGACGGCAGTTGGGCCAATCAATAAGAATTCAATCTAGAAAACCCATCAGATTTGCACAGAATAAAAAATGCCCCAAAAGAAAAATAGTGGTGCATAATTCACACAGAAAAATCACATACAACAGAGTAATTCGGAAAAAAAGAGGAATCCAGCACGGTAAACCAAAAATCCGCGGCGTCCGTGGGTACATCCATTCACGCACGCCTGGCTCGAAGCCTGTCTTTAAAGGGCTTATTGAAACAGACATGCAGTGGCTGCAGGATTGATGTAAGTTAACCGGGAATAAAAGCGAAGGACAACTTCAGCTAACAGCATTGTTTCTCCACGTTCTCGGTTCGGTGTGTTCTAAAGGAATCCCAAACCAGTATAGGTGGTTTCTTTAAGTGGACACGGCTTCGCCCACCCAGAACTGTATAAAGCCAATCTAAAGGGCCACTCTCGTCCATCCATCCTTTCGCATGAGTCCGCAAAATCACGCTACTTAGGAACTTCACTTCTTCAGGCAGCGTCTTACGCCTAAAAATAATGCAATGTGACAAGCGGGAACCATTTGGCATACACCCTTAAATAACTGTGAACCATAGCTTCTCATGTCTCGTCTTCTTTACAAAAACGGGGTTAGCAGCTTTCTGCTCCACCGTGCGATTTGAAGGCATATCAAAGCACACGGTGGTCTCGTCCATATTTCCTACTTGGGACGGTTCAAAGGTGTATTACTTTCTCAGCTGAATCACGAACCCTTGAAAAGATTCCACTTTACTGTTCAATTCCTTCGGTAGTTTATGGGCCAGTTTTTTGCTGGTCCATAGACACATGTCGAACCGATCCATAAAACGATGTACCATTCCGAGAAAGCAACAAAATTCATCCGTTTTAAGGGCTAGAATTCCGGATTTTTAAACATTGCGAACGCCCTGATCCAAAGCTTCGTTCGGGTAACAATTAACACGCTGTGCGGTGACTTCATAACCCACTGCGCTAACTTTTCCTCCAGTGTAGGAAACATCGTTTTTCTACCGCGTGTTGCTTTCTTGCCTAAAGGCATCAGTGACAATTTCAACTTTTTCTTTCGCCATTCTCTCACGTGCTTTTCATTCGCAGTGAAATGACGTGTAGCCGTACAATTATTAGATTGCTGGGCAAATGCGATACCTTTCAATTTAAAGCCAGCAGCACATGCGCATCAGTTTCTGTTGAGACGTGATTTTACCTTTCCACGGCTTTGGAAGATCGCATGGAGTGTGGGCACCTTCCCCTCTCAGCTGGATCATGTGATGTCGCATTAGCGTTATTTGGGGTAGCGAATCAAAAGCCCGGTGCCTTAAAAGTAAACGTCGTCCCACACCACTGATCGTGAACTACGCTCTCACCCACTGCTTTACTGTGGTTCATATGCATGAGGCTCCATACTATGGGAGGCGGGGTGTCTGACATAGCCTTTCACCTTACGCCATATTGTCGGCTGTCTTACCTGTTTCATGTGACTTGATATCTGGTCAATACACTGCCCGTGCGGTGAGTCTTTGCTCTGTCGGCTCTACGCCCCATTAACCGCGATCATAACACATTATGGTCACCACAGCTGACCAATAGTGGAGCAGGTTTCGCTTGAACACACACAAATGAGAGCAGGTAGTGATGAAGTCGAAATCGTGGAGAAACCATTTCATTTCCCTTGTTTGCTGATTTTTTGAGGGGTCGGCTAATATATGGACCTACGGCCTTGGATAAATTTAATGTTGCAAAGTTATACTGTCGGCTTACATATGGAAGGACTTACATTCGGTAATATACGGTAGTTGATACGGATTTGTACCGGAAGCGCAAAGTGTTGAGTTATTGTGCGTTTGGTGTTGCTAATTGTTTACGGAAGTACCGCTATCCAGTTCAGAAGTCCTGAGTCCGGTGGAAACGCGCTTCTGAAGACCCTCAAGCGATATGCCATTTACAAAGCATGTAGGGTCAGTGTGACCACATCGGTTCAACGATGAGATAGGAGAAAAGTGAATGGGCTCTCGGCGTAAACAGAGATGTATAAGTCGCGAAGAAAAGAGGAAAATGTGGAACGAACCAGAATAAATCAGTTTTAAAAGTATGAGATGCAGCGTGCAATTCAAAAGTTGCATTCAGCACCCTACTTAGTAGCACAAACATTTGGCATATAAGGATCCGGTTCAGAGTCTTCAGATAGCGAAATCCATGACAGCGACGGAGATATGGAGCAATACGCACTGCGTCGCACAGATAATAGTACTCCAAAGATCTGAGCCACATGCCGAGTTAACCATGGTGCATGATGCTGGCAGATTTTGGTTGGTTGGCTTTCTCAGACAATCAAAATGGAAGTGTCCGACCGAAACACGGACGAATTCGCAAATTGTAATACGCTCTACAACGCGGCTAATGCGAAAACAGTGAAGCAGAGGCACACTCGTATCACCACACTGTCATCATCATAATCACACACCGTGGAACACAGAGTAAGGTCACAACGCACGCACAAGCCTCACACAAGTAGGAGTTCAAGTCGGAGTAGTGTCCACAGACCGGGAAGCCAGGGATGTATTACCACAACGGTCACAGGCCACAAAAGCTCCTGTTCATTTTCCTCTAATGGGACTACACACTGGTCTAAAAGCATCCATTAAGAGTGAGCAGTGACCGGATCCATATTGTATATCAGTAAGTGTGTGATGGAGTTCGCAGCAGCCATTAGACATCTGTACCCCGAAAAGATGGACATTGGTCAAATACGGCTAAAGATGACGAGATTTAATGTGATGATCAAAGAAGGTGTTGAAATCTCAAGAGTTGGGTACTTCGGGGAGAGAAAGAAGTCGATGCTACGAGGAACAAGCTTTGGAGGAGGCAGTATCGCGTCCAGCAAAAAAGCGATTAAACAGAAAGTTTCCAAGATTTAGTGTGACAGAAGACGACAGCCTGTTTGATTATCGGTTTTTACAGTTGGACAAAGACCTCTGAGTCAAGTGGAACAGTTCGCTTGGAGGATTCCCGTCCACAGTTTTCTTGGGCCATAGACAAGTCTTCGAAACAAATCAGGACTTTGATACTGTTTGTGGCCTGTGTCCTAAAAACTCGTAGCAATTCCCCGCGAATTAGATCAATCGAAGGGTCAACGCTTTTTGACTGAGTCGTGTGGCTCGCGACGGTGAACAGTCCCGAGAGTTAAGCAGATTGGATGCTACCAAGTGACAATATCCAGACACGAAAGTACCAAACAGCATGCAACCAAGGTCAACGTAAACAGGTACACCACAGTCAGATGCTACTGCAATGAAATATGGTTGCTTACCGAGGCAACGGGAGGGGGGACGAATCCACTCAACAACGTTTTCAGATGCAGGTAATCGAGAACAACATGAAAGGTACCTGTGAACGAATATCGTGGTAATTATGCGAAAGAACGTTAACGCGCCATACACGGAGTGGGATGAATATAATGGCAAATCCACACCAATTGAGGGCAAAAATGAAAAGCGAGTGAAGCGCAGTGAAGCCACGATTCGGTAAAATGGAACACAACGTTTAAGCAGCGTCAAGTACAGTTCGGCGGACAGGATGTGAGGGGTTCAAGGACAAAAACCTAATATGGAAAAACGAACAGGCTGAGAACTACGTGTTGTGGAAGGAAAGACAACCGGATGATAGCATAAAGGACATCAAGCGTGAGTGTAACTGCTGAATTATTCTTCCCCTGGCACCATTCATACTCAAGTAAATGGCAGCAAGTGATGCGTTTGTGTCGATAAAATTATCGACACGAACTGATACCTTCTGGCACTTTGGGTGAAAGAGGTAAGCTGACATTTGTCGCATTGGTTGCACCCGTGTCAGGGCGGAGGCCCATTTACGCTGCAAGTCGTAAGATGGAAGCCGAACAATATCGGTCAGCCGTCGACACATAATGGAAACGCAGCTAGGTGCCAAGCTGTTGGAGCATAAGATTGGTGTCGCTGAGTAACGAGGTAGAGCTGATGAATTAATGGGTCAAGATGGTGCGCGGAGGTTTAAGAGTGACCAGAAAATAAGAGCCAAGAACGCATTAAACAGTGTTCGTACGAGTTTAGATCACTGAAACTATCAACAGCGACCAACTTGAGATGAAACGGCAAAAGCTGCATCCAATCGAAAGACTAGTCCACGAGCCAGATTCAAGTCAACTTAGATGGTGAAGAAGGAGCGAGCATGGCTCAAAGCTTACATAAGTGAAGAGCGTTTTGTGGAACGTTTCAAGAGTTGCTCGTTCAAAGCACTATACTTTTAGAACAGTTTCATCGCTGCTTGGTGTATTCGGTTAAAGAAAGTCGGATCGAAAAATAGAACCCGAGAAATCGATGCTCTCCAGTAGGTGCGCTACAAATTTGCAACCGAGTTCTGCGAGGAACGTTTTGCACGGCGGTAAGGAATTCATATTTGGGCGTTCGCTGGGCTTGGATCGCGACATGCAAAGACGATGAGTTACTTCAACCCATAACTAAGCCATTAAGACCACTGAAACGCATCCGAAATGACAGCATCAGAGCTGCGCTATTCCAAGTAATGAGCTATTCCGTCACGGCTTTGACAGTGGAAGTATATTTGCTGCATCCCTTCTACTTCGTAGTCTATCCCCGATTCGTGAATCACGGTACCGGGAAGAACAAGTCGGCTTCCGACCTGGCCGCGGGTGTGTGGATCAAATATTCACGCTCCGCCAAATCTTCGAAAACTGCCACCCGTACCAAAGGTCTATCATCGTTGCATTATTAGACATCAGTGCCGCCTAGGACTCGGTTGATCGAGATGCGTTATGACACTGCTTGCCAAGGAACACTACCATTATGCGTGCACTATATCTCCAATTCTCTGGCAGAGTGAGGATCGAGGGCAAGCTTACTTCGTCCTACGCTGTCAATAGCGGTGTATGATAGGGCTGCACTATGTCCCTGTTCCTCTGCAATTTCACAATTGAAGACGTCTAGTCGAGAGCACTGCAGGGTTACCAGCATTTTGGTCCACAACTATTACCGGAAAAGTGAGCAACTCACTTAGATTATGCCGATCATCATCATTCATCATTATACACTTTAGCTATATGTGGGAAACACCCCAGCTACTTTGCCGCAATATAAAAATGAAAAAGAAAAGTGAACACAAAAGTTGCATGCCAACTGAGCTAGCAGCAACGGATAGGCATCGTTTCGGTAAGCTACCAGTCGGCTACTAGGCAAAAAGAAAAAAACTATTACGTCTTACGCTAATAAATGAGATCGTAGATAGAGGGGAGGCTAAAAGGGATGGGGAGGGACAAAGAAACTCACAGCAGGAACACCATTCAGGTCAGCTCCTTGCCATGTCAGCAAGTGTATCCAGCCAAACGTCTTTTGGACCACAACCAGGGAGCCGAGACGCTCCAACCGAGGCAAGGACAGAGGGGACGGTCTACATTCCTCTCGACTAAGTCATCGCTTGACCATCCACATCCCCGGTGAACAAATAACGCACGTCGTGGAAGTCGATGGGCTGGCATGGGCAACACGTGGCCCAGCCATGCGAGCCTGGTGCGTGAAATGACGGTGCTGAGCGGTTCAGTTCTTTTTCCTGTGCCATAAACAAGGCATCGAAAACGCTCGTTGCTCACGCCGTGTTCCCACCAGATGTGAACCAAACTGCGAAGGCACCGATGGTCGAACGTAACTAGTCTCTTCATATCCACCGATCTTAGGGGCCAGGTTTCGCAACCCTACAGTAAGGTCGAACGTACCGCTGCATTGTACACTCTATCCTTCAGGGCGAGAGTAATGTCGCACCGCCGCGATAGGTGGCGAAGGTTAGCAAAAGCACTTCGAGCTTTCGCTATACGGTTGCTGATCTCGTCTTCCATCCCAAGGGCGCTGATACAACTTTCCAGGTAGTTGAATTTCCGAACGACTCCTAGCTGATCCCCAACAAGGGTCAGCACAGAGGGCGATCCCTGCCAAGCTTGGAGGAACGCCTTGCATTTTGATGGCGCAAAGCAAAGCCCGAAGCGGCTGACAGCCAGTGCTAATCTGTCCAGCGCGGATTGACACGTCTGGGAGCTGTCACAGATGAGGGCAATGTCGTCTGCATACTCCAAGTCGAGAAGTCGTTCTCCTGGGAGCAGCTCCACACCTTCTAAGTCATGTCCTGTAAATGCAATTTCCATGGCTTCATCAATAGCGAAGTTGAAAAGGAAAGGTGACAGCGGGCATCCTTGTCTCATACCGCTTGAGATAGTAAAGGGCGACAACAGCTTGCCGTAAGCCCTCACTCTGTCCATGCTACGCGCGTATAATGCTCGGATAATACTTACATATTTCTCGGGCACACTTTTCCTGAGTAGACAATTCCAAAGGGCACATCGATCAACCGAATCGAAGGCACCTTTGATGTCGAGGAACACAACAACGGTGGGTCGCCAATATGTGTGACGGTGCTCCAACAACTGACGCAAGGTGAAGATGTGGTCAATGCAGCCACGACCCCGACGAAACCCGGCTTGCTCCTCACGAATCTGGCTTTCACGAGCGCCAGTCAGTCTGTGAAGCATGACAGAGGCAAGTAATTTGGAGGCGATGGAGATCAGACTGATTCCTCTATGGTTGCCGCATTCCGAGCGCGAGCCTCCTTTGAATATGGGAACAATAATGGAGCGGCTCCAGTCGGTTGGGACTGTCTTCTGCTCCTACCGTTTCACTGGTAATTCATGTAAAGCATCAACAAGAGCAGAGCCTCCGAATTTGAAGAGGGCTGGAGGAAGATCATCTGGTCATGTGGCTTTGTTCGACTTCAACAGTCCGATCTCACGTTCGACTTCTGAGCGAGAGGGTGGATCCAAAGGGGCATCCCATGGAGCAGAGTGATCACTGGCCGGCGAAGAATCGAACAATTCTAGCCGATTAAATTGCTTTCCAAATTGCTCAGCCCAACGCTCCAAACGTTTTGACAAATTGTGGATAGGCTGTCCACTCTCGTCACAAATTGTTACACAAACACCAGGTCTCCTGTTGCCCGTTTCCCGTATCAGACGGAATAACTTACGACGGTTGCCAAGGGCAGCGGCCACTCCCATCTCTGACGCACCGTGAGACCACCAAGATTCGCGGCCTCTCTTCAGGCTAGCACGAAGTCTGACCCGGAGCTCTTTGCGAGTTCCATTGTGTTCGCTTCCTGCAGAATATGCCGGCGAGCATCGATAAGTTCCAGAGACTGCGAAGAGACCCAATGTCCATGTTGGCTATTAGACATACCACATGAGGATTTGCCTGCTGCTAGTAAGGTCTGGTGAACATGTGACCAGTGACCATCGATTGTCTCCAGTGAGTGCTTACTCAACTCGCATGTCAGCGGACTTGGATACGCATTCAGAACAGCTGACTTTGTCAGTTGGCTGGTGTCAATGCGCTCACAGCGTCGTCGTGGGCGTCCGCCAAAGCGCATCCGCATGTCAGCACATACAAGTGCATGATCGGTGTCCACACATGTGCTCCAAACCGAGCGACAATTCTGGATGCAGTCGCTCCAGCGGTAACTAATAGCAATGTGATCGATCGGCGTCCAAGGCTGGTTCGAGGCTGGTGGACGCCAAGTCACCCTCCGGCGAGTGCTGTGTCGGAAATTAGTGCTCGCAAGAAATAAGCGAGCATCTTCACAAAAATGAAGTAACCACTCACCGTTATCATTAAGGGAGCTTACACCGTGCTGACCGCCCAGATGCATTTCATTAGTGGACAACTTTCCAACTTGTGCGTTCAGATCCCTAGCCAGCACAACAGTGTCCGTGCTTCTTCTATGGTGAAGGAGCTGGGTCAGTTGGCGGTAGAAGTTGTTTTTTACCGAATCATCGCTACAGTTTGTGGGTGCGTAGGCAGCGATGATGAATAGACACCTATTAGCCCCGCGCGACTTCGAAGCTTTGAACGAGCCAGCCAATCGGACCGCACACATCCGGCTACTGATTGGAATCCAATCAACCAGAGCAGCTGCAGCCCGGGGACTCAAGGCAATGCCAACATCAGCTTGGTCGGTGCTCGAAGCTGCATCGTCACCGGATAAGTGCAATGAGAAAACACTGCTTGCGTCACCTGAAGGGGATCGCAGAGTGAGCACAGAGCCCGAGTCTTGCAGGCGGGTCTCCGATAAGCAGCAGATATCGCTCGAGAGGGTCTCCAATGTTCGAGCAAGTTCTGCCTGTTAACCGATCTGGAGTAATGTGCGTACATTGAGGCATGCCAATCTGAAGGAGGATCGAGGGCTCCAAATGCAAGCGGATGAACTGGAATGGACCGCTTGATTGGACATGGGCTTGTCGACAGGAGAGGATTGACGCTCCGCGTTAGCATGTGAGTTGAAACTAGAAGATAAATGCCTGGCAAAGCATGTTGGGGGAGGGCCAAGAATCGGGGGGTTGAAAACTGGGGGATAAAAGTGAAGTTGGAACGGGACGGTAAGAGTGAAAAAGCGTAAAAGGGGGATAAGAAGACGGGAAGGCTTAAGCAGTGGCATCCAAACGCCTATCCACACTGCTCGATGCAGCAGATAGGGCACCGCTGATTATCCTCTGCGGTGGCCAGAGCATCAAGAAATCATTTGAGGAAAGAAAGAGGAAAGATTATGCCGATGACATCACCCTACTTGGTGACGACTCGCAGAGTATGCAAACCGCAAAAACCGTTTGGGGATTGAGGCGTCTAAGTACGGAATGTGTTTCGCCCCGTCGTAGTGTGAAGTGCTGCTCCAGGGTTGGCATCTCCCCGTTCCCGTGTTCGCTCTTGAAGGCACATAGCCTGAACATGTTGACAGCTTTGTATACCTGGGCAACTGCGTATCTGCTGGTGGCGCTATCAGCAAAGAAATTTCTCTCCGTATCGCCAAACCCGATCTGCGTCCGTCAACCTGCAACACTTGTGGCGTCATCGGAATTTCCCCCACTTGGTTAAGGGTCGAGTTTACAATGCCACAGTTCGGAAGATGTTACTATATGGCAGCGAGTCATGGCCAGTTCGCGTAGATGACATGCGCCGGCTCTCGGCCTTCGATAACGCGTGCTTGAAGAGCATCGCTCGTGTGCGGTGGCAACAGGGCATCTGCAACCGTGAGGTCAGACGGTGTGTCTTGGAGAATGCGAGTATTTACTTCAACAAGCTGGTTTCATTGCGTCATTTATGATGATTCGGCCAGGTCCTGCGTATGCCAGCTGAGCGCTTGCCCTATCGCACTTCGTTTGCTCGTGCATGACTCGACTGGACGAGACGTGTTGGCGACAGCGTATGAAATCACTGACTTTAAGTCTTTCTGCGGTTGAATCCACACGCCTGCCCAGTTGGGGACCTGAGGACGAAGAGTGCCGATGGCTCGAAACAAATGCAGGATATGTCTAGCAACTGAAACCAGTGGAAGACCTGTGTACACACTTGTTTAGATTCAGATACTTAACGCTTAGCAATTGATATAAAAATGGCGTGTGAAAAAATAACAAAAAAGGTTCCGTTTTTCTTTACTGCGGCGCCATAACTGGAGTGTGTTGCTTACCTACAACTAAGGTGACATAATGATGATTCTGCAGTGACTCCACCTAGCAGCCGTTGAATTTCATGGTTTTGTTTGGTTCCATGTCTATGTATTAGAAGGTTGAAAAAAGGAGGTTTGAATCGAACTTCCGGTAAACACTTGTCGGTCCAGGTTGAACAGTCCGTGCAAGGAGACCAACAGAGTGGAACTTGATGTCCGAGGAGCAAGTAGAAGAATGTAGGTCGAAAAATAAAAAGTAAATCTCTTCAGAGTTTGCTCACTATTGTTTATGGAGCCTAAAAGTCGAACTGAAAACATGCGGGTATTCACTGGAATCGACTTGAGAAGACTGTCATCTGAAACTCCGCCTAACCCAGTGAGGAGACCGTGAATGTTTCCAGCCTTCGACCGAGTAGTACGGGAAACGCAAAGTATCGTGCCAATTTCATCAAGAACCAAATCACATGAACACCCTAACGGGAACTCATCACACAACCGTCGCAAGTGAGTGAGTTAACACCTATAACTAAGTGTTGGCACGATCAGACGGAGCGCAGGAACAGCGAGAAACTTAACATGAAATGGGAATCCAGGCCTAAAAGAAGACTCGGCATCTTGACTGGTGTGACTGGTAAGAACGCAAGTGGCCTTTTGCTGAGTAGGCTGCGAAGAGGTGAGTTGTACAATAAAGGAAACCGAAAAGCAGGGCATTGAGGAAGGAAGCATGAAACCGAACGAAAGCTCAAGGTGGATTGTGCAGTAACAGTGGGACTCATCCCAAGGAACCGTCACCAACATTCGATTCAATAGTCTCCAACACAAAACAGTTGATTAATCTGACTGCAAAAGTCTCGCGGCGATCCGCAAAACGTCCGCTGTGTACAGATTCGGAAGATTAAAAACGATCTCTGAGTTTCCTTATCGTGGTGAATACAGAATCGGTGACCAACGTCAACCGCAGGTGGGTTCTAGCATGTTGTGGTAAACTGGTGAGCAACAATTGTGTTCTCCCACACTTAGGAACAGCCGGTGAAACCTTTGAAATACATTAACTGCGTTAGACGAAGAGGTTCGATCTGTCCAGTCTCTGGAGGGTGGCGTTGAGACCAAGCACATCAAACCACTCACACTGGAGTTCCGAACTGCAGAGTGAGTGAAAGGCAACAAGGTGCTATTCCAGATATCGAATGTATTGGCGTAGTAACTGCAAAACAGACCAGCGTACGGCGCTGCACACTGCTGTGCGCTTGACGTCCACTCAGAACAAAATGATGGAATCAGACTAGAGTAGAATGTAAACGAACTGCTATCCGAAGAAGTCGATTAATTCACCTATCCTGGTGAACTTATCAGCTCAATTGGACAGGCTAGCGAGGACGTTACTGTGTGGATTAGTAATATCCTTGTGGTCTTTTAGACGCATTTATCTGCAGGAACAAAGATTTGAGATCACTTACGCTGGGAAGGAGGTACAGCGTTGTGCCGCACGGTGAAATTGACCGAATTAGTGATCCAACCACCACGCGCTGCTGACTTGCAGCATCCGTGAGGCAGTCTACATATCCAACAAGGACATTGAATGAGTAGTAATGACATGCCAAAGTTAGTGTATTTTAACACTCAGGTACTACACTGGCTCATCTGCTTAGAGCGAACCACCTGAGGTGGCGATATCGTGTTACTCAAAATTTGTCGGCTGCTAACTTTCGTAGCAACGGTTTGAGGAAATTGAGCCCAGTGAACGAGCTATGAAACGATGTGAGAGTATTAAATAATCAATCAGTCGACTCGTTTGAACTAATGTGTGTCGTTCTCGTGGCTAGGGGTTTCAGCAGGATCCACATAAATGGTTATGAACGCAAGCTAAAAAGTACTGCTGTGAAGTTTGTGTTAGTGTCCTTCTATTGAGGTTTCCGCACTTATACAGTAATCCTTCCGCACAGAGATTAAGACAGTTTAAACTGCAAGTAAAATATTCATTTTGTCCTACTGTTGTTAACTGTCAATGTAACAGAGACAAGGGTCATAGAACGGATTGAAAGCCACCGTATGCAATCGCACGGAACAGTCAGTTGTGATTGCTTCGGCTGTTAATCCGAACAACTGGAGCCCGTTCCACATGCAGGACAACATGCACTGTCAATGCTAAGTCAATCATTGCACCATCTGCGCCCGGGTAGGATGGTGCGGAGAAACGCAGTTAAATTCAGCTCAGCTGACCAGCATTGTGTACCAAGGTGGAGCACATCCGGATGCGCTTCACTTACGTCTCCAAATGGTCGTGTCACATAGAAGTGAAAGTGCTTCACATGGCACCGCATATACAACCTCTGTGATAAAGTTGCTGCCGTAACTATCGTTCAGCTCTGTTAAACAAGCGTCATACGAGCGGTGAAGTGCGGTTGCCATAATTCGCGTGCCATTAAAACAGCATAAATGACGGAGGAGGGAGGGAAAGAAAACAATGATGCGTAGGTGATAGGCAGCAGAATAGCAACGGCCAGAAGCAATCAGACGAATGGAAGTAGCAATGAAACAATTAAGGCTGAATCGATCAGTAAGCAATTTAAGAGAGGTTCGAGAGCAATCGGTTAGTGTAGTTGTTGGGCGCAACAAACACACCAACCGATTGCACCCAAGCCCCTTTAAAATTATAACTTATCAAACGGTTCCAAGCCTATTTCAATAGTTCAAAGCCGGTAAATGGCTTTCGAGTTGAGATGGTATAGTAGCCGGGCAACTAACAACCAACTAGATATTGACAGTGCCATGCAGAGAAGACCAAGAGATCCGCCTTGTTTCTAAAGCCATGTTATACGAGGATGCACACCACTGTCCATGGGGACGCGATCGGTGCGCCTTGGCAAGGTTTTCTCCCGATCACCACTGTAAATGTGTAGGTGAATATTACTTTAAAATTGCAAACAGAGAATTCAGGAGCTGATTCGCTCATCGCGTTGACACATGCAGTTGTGCCATAGGCAATATGACATGATATGTGGCTGCACTCAGTTCCACAGATGCCATGGGCGTGTGTAGGCGGTGAATAAAAGAGACTGCAGGTGGCGACAGTGATGCCAGCTCTTTGGGCTTAGTTGGCAACGGTACAATATAGAGAACATGGTGCGTGGTCAATTTGGATGAAAGGCTCAGCAATGTGAGGGAATATCACCTTCGTGTGAAGAACCTACCCACTGAATAGGGAGCTTCCAATGAACAAAAGCGTTGGACCACCGATATGAAAACACCAGAAAGGACACAGTCCAAATTATCAAAAAGGAGGAATAAATTAAAAGTGGCAGGTTCAGTTGATGAACAAGTTCAAATAACAACAGGTAAGGTATTCATTGTAATAGGGGTACGCATGGAGGCTCAAATGTGTCCTAGGGACATCACAGTGTGTGAGTGCACCGTCAAATCGGGAAAATAAAATGAACTCATCAACAATACATGACCATTGGAGAAAACAGGCTGGTACCGTGAGTAAGTTGGGCCAATGCTCTGTAGACGAATACTTCGACCGCTAGTGAGATGACGGAGCAACGAATCCGGTTGGCGGACAAAGTGGCAATAGTCTGGTGGATGTCGCCTGGATCACATGTTGTCATATTTGCCATAATGACAATCACCTCGTTATGATGGGGAACATACCTGAGTGATGGGAGGAGAAAGACCCACCGCACAGTGTTAGGCCGCGTAGAGTATGGAAGTGGGGAATTACCAAAGAGAATGTACCCAAATTCAAAGGGAAGACTCAAATCAGTGAGGGAAAATTCCCGATAGAATACTGATTAGTAAAAGTAGACAGCGACCTGGACGGGTCAATACTTACACCTTAAAAGCTTTTCGCCGATACACCATAAGCGCTCCTCAGTTCGAACTTTGTTCCGTCGGGCTTGTATGATTTGCACTAGATACGCTGGAAGCTGAGAAAGGACTACTGTTTCAGGTGCTACAAACTAATGGTTATCCACAACAGTTCGTAAAGCGTTACAGCGACACAGTGAAACGGGATCGAGAGATAACGGTTCAAAAAATACGGTTTTCATTGAGTCACTATTCAAAGGTGACCACCAGAGGAAAGGCAGCGAGAAACGAATAAGCGCCTCAATGAAAAAGGCGGACCTAGACATGATTATGCCCACAAGACCACTGCTTAAGCGTTCACTGAAGACACCAGCGTCGAAGCAGTGCACGTCACATTGTCTGTACAAATTCATATGTAGCTGCGAAGACAGCTATGTTGGGCGCACTGATCGAAATCTAAGTCTCCGGATCAACGAACACATTCCGAAGTGGCTCCGCAAACGGATGGAACTTGAGGCGGTTTCACCGGGTGAATCGAGTAGCAAGGCTGCCTAAGCAATTACGAGGCATTTGCTGAACACTGTTCACCAGGTAAACACGGATGAGTCATACACAGACATCATGCGAAGCCAAAGGGCTCATATTCTCAAGCTTCTCGAGGCCATTGTCATCGATCGACAGCGCCCAAGGCCCTGCGTTCAAAAACAGCTGACTGGTAGGGAGTTACGCACAATCGCAATTCAGTTGACCAACCATTGGACTTATGTGGGCTTAGTTTGGTTTGTTTGTTATTTGCATGTACTAGCCGATGAAAATGCACTAAATGACAGTGTCATCCCACAAGATTTGTCTTCCGATATTCTTATTTAGAACTATAAATGGAAATTCATGTTTCATGTTTCCATCGATATAACAGCGGGCAGGCACGGGATGCATGAAGGTATGCAAAAAATAATATGAAGATAGGGAAAGGGACAATCAGAAATTGGAGATAATAAAATGAACTTGGAGCTCAGTACCCTGTGGTATGTCGTGGTCAGATCGTAGTGTTGGATGCAGCGAAGATAACGAGGAGCGTAGCAGAGAGTACTCGAAAAGACAGAGGGCCACAAAAAAGATGATGTAATGGGGGTGCCCAGTTGTACCGAACAGATGGACCACGGGAAATAACAAAGCAATCAATGGGAGGCGAACCTAAAAGTGAGTAAATGTAGTGGGCGGAGTCGTCCGCTTACCTAGTTATGCTGACCAGTGGACGTTCAGGTGATGTAGTGGATCCACGCGCTTTTTGTTTAAGCCAAATAAAGAAAATCATTCGTCCAAAAACGATGTGGTTAATGGAAACGAACGAATAGTATATGTCAAGATGAGAAGATGGTCAAATGTGTTGTCATTTGCACTTAGTTGCCTATGCTGAATAAATGAATGGTCTCTGAAGGACAGAATTTTAAACAACCTGAGGGAAAATCGCATCGGTGATCACGATGTGAAATAGCAATCATTGTTGCCGATCTATTCATAGTAGCTCGCCCAAATACCCAGAATGGCTCCTGCTCAGTGGAAAGGATTGGTACGCTTGAATGTAGCGCATGCCGGTCAAGCTGTGGAGGAGATTGAGTAGAGAAAGTTCTTATGTCCAGTCGAGGCGAACACAAGACAGCTTTATCCAGTGCCAATGTCTGAAGCACTGGTGAAAAGGTCATCGATTTTACGACTCATTGCCGGCTTCTCAATCACATTCTTGCGTTGTTTCATCTTTATCATCCCCTGCAAACTTCATTTTTATCCCCTGTCTTCAACCTCTCAGACTCCTGGCCCTCATCCATTTTGTTTCATTAGGCGTTTCTCTTCCATAGTAAGTCCGATATGACGGGACTACACACTGTAGTCCAGCCAAGACTCGTACCTCCAATGCCGCAAATTGCGCGCCGCTACAAAACCCGAGCAGTTCTCTCAGTTTTCCGGCCATCAAATCGCTATGCGGAAGTTCGTAGCTCCTGGGACGAAGCACTGTCCTCTGCGCAGTGCGTAACTCGCATGGAAGTGGAGGATGGGTCGAGCTAAATCGTAGTCAACCGCCAGTCGAGCAGGTCCGCGGCCGTCGCCCATGCCTTAGTGGCATAAGCCACTGGCGTCCGAAAGTCATGGGGTCTGAACCCGGCAGGGGTGTGAGGAAGGCGAAACACTGACGAGACCCAGAAGGTCGAAACAGTTGTCTGGTACTTTTCCAGACGTGTCGGAGCCTGCAGATTGAGAGGGAACTGCGACGGACCACTTCAGAAATTACACCCAAATCCTCAATACTCATAGAAAGTGGGTTTGGTAGTATATGCGCACATGACTTTGCCTGCGTTTGGCGCACGCATAACTGCATGCGGAGCGATCGAGTTCGTTTTGCTCTTTGGTGTGTGGGCAAGTGGCAGACAGAAGCGATGGCTCCACATGAATTTGTACGTGCGAAAAACATAGGTGCAGTCGTGTGCGCATTTATGGCCAAACAATTTGCTGATTGGATGGCCGGAAAACTGAGGAAACCACTCTGGTTTTGTAGAGGCGCGCAATGTGCGGCATTGCAGGTGCCAGTATTTGTTGGATTGCGGGGTGTGGCCTATCATAGAGGACGTACTGTAGTTTCCAATCACACGCAACCCAGAGCGATGCTCCAATCCAATTGACAAGTCCATGTTCGACCAACGTCAGTTCATCCGTCTCTACTCACAGCCTTCAACCTCGCTAAGATTGGCATGTCTCGAGGTGTGCAATGTGTTACAGACTGGCCAATAAGCAGCACTTGCCCGAACACTGGGACCTATCAGTCGATATCTGGTGTTTATTGGATACCCGCGTGTAAGATTCCAGCTCTGTGCCTAGCCTGCGGTCTCCCACATGCGACAACAGCAGAAGTTTATGATTGCGTTTGTCCGGAGATCGCACAGTTTCAACTACCGATCAAGCCGGTGTGGGCGGTGCTTCGAGTCTTCGGGCTGAAGCTCATCTTATCGACTCGATTACAACAAACAGCCGGATGTGAGCCGTTAGATTGGTTGGCGAGTTCAACCTCCAAAGTTGCGTGGGAACAAACGGCGCCTGCTTGTCAATGATGCATAAGCGCCCACAAACTGTGACTCGGTGAAGAATGACTCCGATCACCAACTGAATGAGCTCATTCGTTAGAGAAAATATACGGATACTATTGTGCGTGCTGGTGAGCTGAACGCACAAGTCGGAAAATTGTCTGCTGCTGAGCTGCATTTGGGCAGCCAACATGGTGTAGATTCCAGTAATGATTACGATGAGAGGTCGCTACATCTGCGTAAAGATGCTCATTTGTCTATCGCGAGCACAAACTTCGACACAACACCCGCATAAGAGAGATATGGCGCCCACCATTCTTGGACCGGTCATGGACATAAATCGATCACATCGCGATCAGATGCTGCTAAAAAAGCTATCCAAAACTGTCGCTCGATTTGGAGCACGGGCGTGGACTCAGATCACGCTCTTGTATGTGCCGATCTGCGGGTGCGTTTCGAGAGAGGTCCGCAACGGCGCTGTGAGCGCAGACACCAGCCAACGGGTGAAGCCAGGAGATCTGAATGCGTACCAAATGATATTGGCGTTCGCGCTGAATAAGCACTCTCTGGACACAGTAGAGGGTCACCGATCGCACATTTTCCAGACGTTATTAGCAGTAGGCATGTTGCCATGTGGCAAATCAAGTTGCAAACCTAGACACTGGGCCCCTATGCAGTCTTAGGAAATTGTAGACGCTCGTCGACGTGTTCCAGCTGGAACCGAACAGAACAAAACTCGCAAAGACCTCAGGGTGAAAAGGTGTGCCAATCTGATAAACCGCAAAGCCTGGTGGTCTCAACGTGCATCGGAAATGGAGACAGTCACTGCCCTTGGTAAGCTTCGGAAGATATTCCGTCTGATACGAAAAACGGGGATGAAGAGACATGGCATTAGCGAGACCAGAGGTGATGGGAGTGGACAATCAATCGACAGCTTGTGAAAACGCTTGGAGCGTTGGTCCGAACACTGGAAAGCAGTTTAATCATCTTTATTAACCACTAGTCGTCTATCTCTATGACTGTCCCCTTGGAGCCGCCCTCAAGTGAGATCAGACTGTTGAGAGTGAACAGGGCCGGAGAAGGAAATGGACTTCATTCATCAAATTCAGGGGACCTGAACTTGTGGGTGAGGCTGTTGAAGCCGGAAACTGTTCCAACAGATTGGAACCAATCCGTTATAGTCCCAATTTTCAAGGAAGGCTCCGGTTCGGAGAGCGGTAGTCATGAAGGTATCAGTCTGATCCCCACTATCTCTAAGTTACTTGCCTGTCATTCTGGATAAACTGACTGGCACCCGTGAATGTCAGATTTGCGAGGAACAAGCCGGCTTTCATCGAAATCAAGCCTGAATTGAGCACATCTTTACTTTACGTCGGTTGTCGGAACATCGCCAATTTATTGGCGGCTCACTGTAGTCGTGTTCCACGACATCAAAGATGCTTTCCATTCGGTGAATCGATGTGCCCTTTGGGACTGCCTAAAGAGGAGAGTTACGCCCGAAAAATAGGTAAAGATTATCACAGCGCTTTACGCGTGCAGTGCTGACAGAGAGAGGACCTATGGTAAACTGTCCATGTCTTTCAATATCTCCAGAGGTGTGAGACAAGGTTGACCTCAGTCACCTTTCCTCTTTAAATTGACCATCAACAAAGTTATGGAAAGGTCATTAACAGGATACGACTTAGAAGGTGTGGAACTGCCTCCTAGTGAGCAACTTCTGGACTTGGAATATGCCGACGACATTGTGCCCACCTGTGACAGCTCTCAAACGTGCCACGTTGCACTGGATAAATTAGCCCTGGCTCTCATTCGTTTCAGGCTGTGTATTGTATCTTGAAAATGAAAATTTTTATTTCCAAGGTTGGCAGAAACCTACCAATGTGCTGAACCTTAGCGATGATCAGCTAGAAGCCGTCCAGAAATTTAAGTATATGGGCAGCTATATTAGTGCCCTTGGGATTGAAGATGAGGTCAGGAACGGTATATTGAAAGCTCGGGGAGCTTTTGCCAATCTACGCCACATGTGGCGTCTACTTGACATCACTCTCGCTCGGAAGGGCAGAGTTGACAATGTAGCCTTCCGTACAACTCTCCTGTAGGGTTGCAAAACCCAGTCCATCAGCTCGACAGACATTAAGGGGCATAATAAGTGTGACCATCGCTGCCTTCCAAAATTAGTTCATGTCTGGTGGGAACAACGCGTGAGCAATGGGTGTGGTCGGGGTCGCGTATTTGGTGCAGGAAAATCGAATGAATGGCTCAGCACCGTTATATCGCGTGCCAGGCTCCGACGACTGGGCCACGTGTTGTGCATGCCAGTACACCGACTCCCGCATCGTGCGCGCCCGGGATGTGGATGGAAGAAGAGGAGGGGAGGCCAACCGTGACTTAGCCAAGAGGGATGAAAATCCTTATTTCGAAGCCGGTGTCGGATGATGCCTCCCGACTACCGAGTTGGGGTCCCAAATACGATGAACACGATTGGTTGTATGTACTAGTTGACATTGCGACGAACCGACCTCAGTGGCATTTGTGTTGTGCTGTCCTTCCCAATCCCGCTTAGCTTCCCACCCCCCTCGATGCACGACCTCACGCCTGAGGCGTATGATACAGTCCAAGCTGCTATGGTGACCAGCCAAAAAGATCCCCAACCTTTTCTTCTAAGAGTAATGTCCTATGCATGAAGTTGTCTATGGCGACCACCTGTCCAAGGAGACCACTATTAGTCGGTCCGTTGAGTGGCTGCCTTAGACAGATCCGACTGTACGTAGCTGAGTAACACTGTCACTTTTTTGCGTCTTAGTACCTCGCTTTCTATATATTAGCTTGTTCTATTGCGGCATAATAGCTGAAATGTGTTTCCCACCATCAGCTAGCATGTAATGCTGATGATAATGATAAAGGCGTGTTACAATAGTTTAGCGCTGAGTACATCGCGTTCACCCTGGTGAACCCAACAGATAGAGAAATCTTGATGCTCTACAGAACAGTGGATAACAAAGTCAAATGACAAAATAGGCTTTATACCTAAGAACACAAGGAATGAAAACCTCTCTATCAAGGCGTATGCAGAGAGAACAGTGAACGTTTAGAGTGCGAAGTAAGTGAATGCACAGGGAATTTTACATCACAACAAATAAGAAAAAGATTTTCTTGAAAAAATGGCTCGACTACTTCCGGTTGGCAGCAGATGCATCAATTCATACCTCCGTTTAAACGTTGCGAATGAAGCATCCCGAGGTGGTGTATGAACCTGGGACATTCGGCAAGGTAGGAGACCCAGTGTAGCAAGGCACATGGAAGCTGATCCGAAGGACGGATTACCTGATGTGGGTTACCCTTGTGTGATGATTTTAAACACATTTGACATCAATGCAATCTGGAAAAGTGCATACTTAAAAGTACTTCAGCAAACTAAGGGCCGAATATGCCCAGCAAAAAAGGAGATGATGGGTGAACAGGAAGCAGAATCCATACGCAATCAAAACATCGGACCGAAATTTACTAACTTCAATCGAGATTCAGCGAGGAGCAGCGCATTTTGTAGAGTGGGCTCACCAACACAAGTGTAGTTGTGCAAATTTTCCAGCGCGGCTAAATGGCATCGAGGATTGCCTGAAAAGATGAGAGAAATGTAAGGTCCTGGTAAACGATAAGGAGAATAAACAGTGCTAGGACGGAGAAATTTTAAAACCACAGAGCAGCGAAAATGACAAGGAGGCGAACGTGTATAGGTACTTAAGACACCATAGACGACTCGCGAGTGTTAGTCTGCTGATGTCACTACGAATCAAAGTCGAATGGGGGATACGGATGCTACCAAAGACAGCAACCTTAAGCCGCACGCCATGGCGCGGAGGCGAGCGACAGATAATTGTGCAAGCCGAAAAAGGTGAATTGTGAGCGAGAATGACGTGGGTGATAGAAGAGAAAGATTTGGACAGCTCGTGAAAAGAAAGAAAAAAGAAAGGCATCAGGAGTACGCCGGTACGCTATACCGACGCCTCGCTGCCGCGTAACCACCAACAGTCGCGCGTAGGATAAGGATACTGCGAGGGTCGCCCGGTCCCTACGCAGGCTAGAACCCGCGCCCTCATGCTTGTGATCCTTAAAGCTGAGGATCGGCTGATAGTTCGTGCATCACTACCTGAGATTTGAATCCAGCGGGAACAAAACGGATATTGTAGTTGAATGGAGAGAAATACAGTGGTCCGTAGAGGTAGGGTAAAAGAGACGAGGGACATGTAGAGAGAACAGACAATCAACTAATTTCATGTACTCCAAGTACGGAACCAAAAACCTAGAGAATCCGTTAGGCTAATGCAAAGTACCATTCGGTTAGTGGGTGATCGCACTGCTTTGACGTCTTTCCCATCAAAGATTACCATGCATTAAATCGCAACTCACAAGTTAAACACATTAATAAGGAAAGACAGCTAAAGTACAATTGCTGGCCAGGTAGTTAAAATATGCACAAAGAACCGACTCACATAAAAAAGTGCTGCCAAAACGATGCAAATATTAACAGAAAAGATCGTCTGTGATGCAGTAAAATCAGTGGGACTTGTCCCCCCACAACGTGCAAATGTACGTCGTAATGTACCCTGAAAAATCGATACACCACACTGAATTTGTGAGTTACAAACTTACAGCAGAAGCAATACGATGACAAGAAAGCAAAAGTTATCAAGTATAGCAGCTTGGTCTTGGAGTGTCCTACTATGTGTGGTTTGGCTGCGATGTGTTGATCGCCGTGTTTATGGACCCGGTGATCAAGGCACAAAACAGCAACCCGTATGTCCCAAGTTCCGGTATCAGCTCCAGCTATCTCGGCCTGAAGAGCGCGCAGAGGGACGCCCCCAAATTGAAAGTTTATAGTAGCAAAGCGTGCTTAAGTAGCGCAAACGGCGAAGAAAAGAGTTTGCAGTCACACGGACCAAACCATGGGATTCGATGTGTGGGACCCGGCTAAAAACTTGTGCGACCTAAAATCATTGTTTCCCATATAGAAACTATCCATAAATTACCCACTAAGTCTTTCAGGATGCCAGACTAATTCGGGTGTTTTCAGTTCTCGAATATGAAAAAAGTGATTCTTCGCCATAAAGAATGGTTACAGTGTGAATGAGTAGACCAAACGAAAGATTCGGCTAGTAGACAACAATCAGGGGGCGACGCACAGTTCTCTTCTGGTTAGTTTAAACTGCGCAGCGAAAATAAGTGGAAAGCAAATCGGAAAGCCTCAAGTAAAGTACGGTTCGAGTGCGATCAATGACACCATACTGTATTCAGGGACGAACTGTGTAACTATGTGTTCGGTTGAATTGAACCACCATCGGACATCAGCGGAAAGCGACAGTGTAAAGGTACAAGTTATTACGTGACGACTATCGCTTAGAGAAATAGTCGGTGGTGCAAATAGTCTGATAGGCGAAATGATGCCCGACACCAATAAATCAGACAAGCGCTGCGGAAGTTGACAGCTGCTGCTATCTATCGAAGAAAGCTCCAAACCACTTATTTGGTGCAGCTTATTCAACGGAGACGAACGAGAAAGATCGTGCGTGGAGATAATAGAAAAGCAAAGGCTGATCGCCATGGATGGTGAGTCTTCACCCAGGGGGGGACCGAAATAATCGAAAGAGTGGATCTATCCACGACCTCATCAAAGTTGGATCCCCAAGGCCGTAGATTTAATGAGCAAACGACTAACCCTGCCGAACTGAGGTACATATAAGTAACTCACAGTGGTCCCCATCGTCTGAAGTTAGCAAAAAACTGATATTGGATCCTGGGAACACCACCCCTATTGTGATCCGGTAACGGCATCCCAGGGAACGGATGGCGGAGCTACGTAGCTCCGTGAGTCTATCTGTGGTCCCATTAGTGCGGTGAAATTTAATGAATAACAGGTGAATCGAATGAAAAGTTTTGAGCCTAACACAGAAATCTGATAGCCAGGCAAGTCAAATAAGGTTTTCTTTTATAATCTAACACTGCCTTATTCATACAATACAAATTCATACTGCTTTCTCTTTTACTTTGATTTCAGCAGATTCTTAAAGTGAACCGGATCTGCAATTTGGTGAAAATGCAGAAATTGGAGCATTGTGCGGTAATCAAACTTTGCTATCTCAAAGGAATGTCACTATCTGAAATCCAGCAAGATATGCTTGCTCGATACATTGCGTGACAATGCTCCTTCATATGTCACAACTAAACGCAGGGTGCAGGAGTTTATGCGTGACAGGCAGAGTATCGAAGATGAGCCTAGGTCAGGGAGACCATCAACCACCACCATCAAATAAATTCTTGACCTAGTAATGGATATGATCGTCGGCCCGCAGCCTAGAGGTAACAAGCTTATCTCGTAATCTTGCGGTGCGGGTTCGAATCCGCGTAGGGGTGGGCGTCCTCGCGGTATACTCAACCCGCGTGCGACTGGTCGTGATCGCACGGCAGCGAAGCGCTGTTACGGCGTACAGATGACATGTATTTCATCGTCGATTAACAAATCGTCAGGTAGCAGAGAGGTTGGGCATCTCCCAGGAGAAAGCAGATAATATTCCGACGAAGGAGTAAGGCTACTAAAAGGTTTCTGCTCGATGGGTACCCCGTCTCCTGATTCCTGAGCAGAAGCGCATTCGATATGTGAGGTCAAAGAACAATTTGGCACTGTTTGAGGCAGATGCTGATGATTTTCTTGCATGATTCATTACTATGGATGAGTGCCGGGTTCAGCACTTTCAAACAGAAAGAAAAAAAACAATCAAAGCAATGAAAGCGTGAATCATCTCCAACGCCAAAGAAGGCCAAGGTTAGACATTCAGCTGACAAGGTGATGACATCCGTTTTCTTGGATTCCCGAGGTATGGTGAGGATTGGTTTTCGTAAGAGAGGCCATGCATCGTAGGCTTCTGAAATGAATCCGAGAAAAATTTCGAGAAAAGGGGTCATGAATGCTGACGACAATGCTTCAGCCCACACCTCTTCCGTTGCTCAGAAAACAATCCACGATTGCGGCTTCCAGCTTCTTCCTCATCCAGCCTATTCACCAGATCCGACTCTCTCTGACTTCTAGCTATTTCCGAACTTTAAAAAAGCTTTAGCTGGTAAACAATTTCTCAATGATAGTGACTTACTGAAGTCAGAGAAGCGTTTTTAGACTCGCAAACTGAAGAGTACTTTTACACTGGGGTAAAGGCGCTTCAGCACCGCTGGAGCAAGTGTGTTGTGCTTGAGGGTGATTAGGTTGAAAAAGAAAAGAACCGAAGACTCTGCATCTCGTTTTATTTTTTGAGGCCCAAAACTTCTCATTCAACCCACATAGCTGGTCTAAACTTACATTAATGCGTACAAGTAATATAAACTCAGTGATTTATAGGCACCCTCTTCAGTTACCGTGGGGGTAATACAGAAAATGGAGAAGATTCTCGAGGCTGAATAGGTCAATAAGCCACAGATGACGAGGTAGATATGATAATAAACGTCCACATAAAACTAGAAATCAAATAGAAATGCAAGGTTTCCGATAGCTCTTCGTTTCTCGCACCGATCGGTTGTATAGTGCATCAAACAAAAGTGAACTGTGTGGTAGGGAGACATAAACCCGAAACGTAATCTAAACTAACTGGGATTTCCGTTTGCTAGAGAGAAATATGGCTAAGCGCATATTTCGTGTACATCAACGAAAAATTTAATAATTCAAAGCTTTGTCCCTTGAGACCACGGTCTGGATTGACAATCAGACAATATGGTGATTTGGTCGCCGTCCGAAACGCGTAAGTTGGCAGAACGCGACACATAGTTAAGGCGAAATTTCAGGGGGCTGAGGAATTCGAAGTACGATCAATAAATGGAAGAGTAGAGCGCGTAATAAAGGCTGAAAAATTAGTCCAGCCTTTGTCGGTCTGCCAATTCTCTATGTTAAATAAATTCGGTGCATAAGAAGGGAGGTAATAGCCGGTAAAAATTAGATTGGTTTAAGGGAGTGCCCCACGAAGACAGCGTATCAAGACAAGCCAAAAAAAGTATCCTGAACCCCGAATTCACATGCGGCTAGACAATTGGGTGAAGTAGCACACAAAAAAGAACAAAGCCCTGATGATGGGCAACTTCATCTGTCGTCGAAAGGTGTGATTCGTATCAAATGCAAGTTGCTCTCGAACAACGCCCAAGCGGTGCACGCTGACGCTGTTTAGCCGGATCCACTCTACACTTGTCAATAAGGCTGTAAATAGACAAGATATTGAAATGACTGAAAACATTAGGAGCTCCAGCTAGGAGCAGTAAACGCCGTGGCAAGGAGAAGGGCTCGAACAACAGACGTACACCATAATCAACGTGTCTCCGAACGGATCGTCCGTAACACAAAGCACGTATTTGCCCAATTCAATGATAACCGTGGTGCCTATGCATGGAATAATGAGCCTGTGGTTAACAATCAAATGGAAAGAAGCGGGGTGGATGAAGTGACTCGTATATGACTAGTGTGCGGGTGAACAAAGATGCGTAGAAACAGGTATAGCAAGAGTACCTGACAGTTCGGTGAGGCGTTCCGCTCGCCGGTCCGAAGTAATGATTATTCCCAACTGACTTATGGGGTTCTGATCAAAGTAGTCCCGTACAAAATCTTTAGCAGCCTGTGAAGAAATGAAGAGGAGAAACAGAGAGGGGCATAGAGTAAGTGTGAATCAAACAGTACAAATCAAGGAGTACATTTGCAAAAGGCACCGTAAAAGAAATATTTAGGAGCTAAGTGGAGTTGTTATTCAAATGCATATTAGTGCACTATTTCATTTAACCGGCTTAGGAGCGAGATGGAATAAGGAAATATTATCAGTGCGCAGTGAGCCCTGAAGCGCCATGTCGGAGAGTGATTGGCCTCTTCGGGTCAAAATGCACTAGCAGGTTAGCCTTGCCCATGGCTTCCTTGACAGCATGGAAATCCCCTTCTTCTTTAGTAGACAGCTGACACGGCGTTTTATTCGAAGTAAATCGTACATGGGAGCGAGGGTGGTGGCCAAATTGGATGGGAAACGACTGTAGTGCACCAGCACACTAAAAAAGGACTGCAGCTTATTGATGTTACCAGGTACAGGAAAGTCAAGAATGGAAGGAGTATTTTTCATAATGGGTGCAAACTCCGTTTATCCAAACGGAATCCAAGAAACTGGACACTGTCAACGAAAAAAATTTGCATTTAGATTCCCTCAGATTCAGCCCACAGTCTTGGAGACGATTCGAAACCGTCGCAAGTGATTTGCTGCGTTCGTGATCAGTGTGGCCAGAAATAAAATTGATACATAGGTAAGAAAATGCACCCGGGACTTCTTTTACCAAAATGTTTATAATCCTCTAAAATACCGCGGGTGTTGAACGTATTCCTCATGCAGAGGTCGATGTTGCAGATGGGCAACAGCAGGGGTTCCCAACCACAGGGTAATAACCCACAAAGGTGCAAAGTGACATCATACGGGGGGTAAATAATAGTACGAGGATTGGGTCACCAAAGTCGCAAAACAAGCCTAATAACTAAAGCATCAGTACCAAAACATGTCGCTATCTATACACCTTTTATTAGCCAACAGTGGCCATGTGATTAGTCACTGCAGCTAGGCACTTCCCGCAAAGTTCCATTAAAACACAAAAATATTACAGGAAAAGTACAAAATTTCGTATAAAACGTCCCAAAATGGGCAAATCCTCGTGCGATTCACCAGTCCTCCTGGGCCAATCCTCTGACCTCAAGTGTGTTCTCATTGGCCGGGTGCTAGGGTTTGATGCGTCAATCGAGCACTCTGCCCGTTGACAGGGAGAGATTTTGAATGAACCTCCAATTCTTGGACATGGGCGGTGCTACGAGCTACTTTTACCTCTCCCCCTCACGTCCGAAACGCTGGATCACAATTGTTCTGAGAGTAATGAACGGCCGGAACATAAGCGCACGACTGAATGGATGTCTTTCATTCCAACCTGGTCAACCTACCTCCTCGTGTTCGACAGAGTATCTCGTCAGACATTTGTGACCGAGTTGTGGATGCCTTCGTCAACGGTGACGGCTAACGGCTCGTGGCAACCGTGAACAATGTCAAATATCAAACTCCTGGATGCGTCGCTCTGTTGATCGGAAACCGGGTAATACACAGACGCGCGGTCGCAAGTGCATTCTGTAGGACGAAGAGATTGATGACACCCTGGAGTGGATCGCGAAGTACGCAACTGTAACACTACACGAAATGGGAGTCCGAGTACGTGCCGATATGGATAAGAAGATTTCAAAGTTCACAATCGCACGATACCTGGATGGCATCTTGCTCCCAGCGAGTTGTCTATGTTAGGTACATAAGAGGCGACGGTTTAAAAGAAGAGTACTTATTCTCAGAATCACTGAGCACAACTACACGCAGCGAAGATGCCATTCGAACAGTGAAGGATTCCCTCGAGGAAAAGGGTCAACAGTGGTGGAAGTTGGTGAGTATCTGTACCGACGGAACACCGTCCATGTTAGACGTCCGTTATGGAGTAGAAACATTAGTCAAAAAATTTGCTCCACACGTCAGCTTTAGCCATTGCATCATACATTGTTATGATTTAGCAGTGAAAACTCTTCCATCTGCATTGCTGGACGCGATAACCAAGGTAGTGAAAATAGTAAATGTCATCCGCGGTAGTGCGACCTATACAGAGAGTTGTGCAATGAATTTGGAGACAAATTCTACGTGCTGTTATTGTACACAATTGCGTTGGTTATCACGAGGCAGGGTGTTGCACTGAGTGCTCGAGCTTAGAGGAGAAATTGTAGTTTCTTGAAAGGAAGTATCTGCATAAGGGTAAGGGGAACAGATTACATGTCATGATAACAGACAGTGCATTTAGTTACAAACTAGCATATCTTGCAGATTTCCTCGGAGAAATAAATGCGCTGAACCTCAGCTTGCAAAGAAATATGAGAACGACCCTCCAAATATGGGAATATTTAGATGCTCAGCACACAGTTACCAGTCTTCTTCACAAATTGCAGCTTTATTTACGCAGTGTTACGGTTGACGGCGTGTCGATGTTTCCAGGACTAACAATAGTGCTTCGTAGGTAAAAGTGAAAAATGCACATTCACAGATGATATAACTTGCCACTTGTCATCATTGGTATATTCTATCAGCAGAAACTTTCCTGATTTGGAAAATCGCCAAATAAATGGCTGGATGCTAAGACCATTTACAGTGGATGAAGAAATGTTCCCAAGCACTGAAATCGAAGTCAATCATCATTATACACGTCAGCTAGAGCGTTTTATACTTATGAAGGAAACCAGTGGCTACGCTACCGCTGCTAACCTATCGGTGATCTTGCCAGAAATATTCCCCTTGAGATCCTGGTAAACATAATTTGTGCATTCCCTACGTGCTCTGACAGCGCATTGATCTTCATGGCGCGCGGTAAATCGGCGTCCATTCGCCCGCGCTAGTTTCACCTGCTAGGTACTCGATCAACGACCACAACCTCGACCCATGGCGGTCAAGCCTGATATGTCCTTATTAAAATCCTTAACTACTGGTTCTCTAAACACCAACAGAGATACGCGAGAAATCATAACTGCGCGTCATGCGTCCGTATTTAGGTGTGAACCCATTTTTCAAGCTCTCGCGCGGTTGTGTTACAACGCGGCAGCGAAACCGGTTATGCGACCCGAGCAAGCGCACTATTAGCCCTGGGCGCCACAGTGTTCCCCCGAATACAGAAACAGCTATTTCTAGCAGTGTATAAAGTGCACTCTGACCTGACATCAAAATAACGTGAGCATAACATTCGTCCACTTACCGGTGATTTACTGACCGCGCAAGGGGTTACATATCCATTATTTTTGGTGCATCAATCGTTTGTGGACTTGTTGGTGCCTTCCTATAACACAATATTTCGGCAATTCATTTTCCAGACTTCTTAGTTTTCGGAATTCTGAAACCCTCTCTGCATGGTCTAAGGTTATTCATGAACGAGTAAGGAACGACGCAAACCAGTACGAAGTAAACGATACGCTACAAATATCACTTGCACAGGTCATTGGAAGCCAGTCCCATGTCATTGCTTAACGCTGAACATCAGATTTCGTTGCAACAACCGTACGTACGTGCATACATATGTGGCCGAGACTTTGAATTTTCTCGTGTCCCTACTCGTTCCTAGTGGTATATGCCATACAATCAGATGTCCAAAGTGATGATCCGGAAATGTAATTAAAGTACATCATTTTTTTGAAAAAATCAGGAAAATGTACACGGATGTGTCGAATTGCATTAGGACATTCCACAACACTGATCTCACTGGTTGCTGTTCTGGCAATGCGTACCAGAAACTGCAACCTTCATTTCATTTGCGTCATGAGGTCCTGGAGATCCCCGGCCAGAAGTTAATCGTATTGCATTCGCACTGCATTCTTCATTCGGGCCTTCACCACCTGCCAAACATTTTCGATGGGATTGAAAAACGGGGAGTATCGGTTCAGTCTCAGAATGGTAACGCCTTCGTATCCCTCGACTGAGGTAAATGCTTCCAAACGTGAGTGACATGGTGCATTGTCACACACAACGACCACCTGTCGGAGTTCCACTTCCCGCTTCAGCTTGTCTGAAATGCCTAGCAGTCATTCGAGAGATAGGGGGCCAGTGAAGGAGCATCTCCGGGTAGTCATCGAAACGTTTCCATCCATTATGAGTGCACCGATGAGATGCAAATTCAGGCCTCTACTAATGGCTACTTTGTCACAGACCATCACTCCTCTGGACACCCGACCACGAGTACGCTTGCAGTAAACGTTGAAGTTTGTTACTTCGATACATATGAAGAACTTCCCCTACCTTTCAAGTTCGAGAAACTTTTGAACAAACTTATTACGTATCGCTTTGGTTTGATCATTATTCATTTCTTTTGGAGTCTGATAGGTTTTCTTCATAAGTATAAAACGGCCATCCAGGTATCGTGCGATTGTGGACTTTGAAATCTTCTTATCCATATCGGCACGTACTCGGACTCCCATTTCGTGTAGTGTTAGAGCTGCGTACTTCGCGATCCACTCCAGGGTGTCATCAATCTCTTCGTCCGACAGAATACACATACGACCGCGCGTCTGTGTATTACCCGGTTTCCGATCAAGAGAGCGACGAATCCAGGAGTTTGATATTTGACAATGTTCACGGTTGCCACGAGCCGTCAGCCGTCACCGTTGACGAAGGCATCCACAACTCGGTCACAAATGTCTGACGAGATACTCTGTCGAACACGAGAAGGTATGTTGACCAGGTTGGAATGAAAGACATCCATTCAGTCGTGCGCTTATGTTCCGGCCGTTCATTGCTCTCAGACCAATTGTGATCCAGCGTTTCGGACGTGAGGGGGGGGGGTATAGTAGCTCGTAGCACCGCCCATGTCCAAGAATTTGAGGTTCATTCACAAATCTCTCCCGGTCAACGGGCAGCGTGCTCGATTGACGCATCAAACCCTAGCAAGCGGCCAATGAGAACACACTTGAGGTCAGAGGGTTAGCCCAGAGGGACTGGTGAATGTTAGATGGATTTAAAACATTTTGGACATGTTTTGCAAATTTTGGGACGTTTTATACGAAATTTTGTACTTTTCCTGTAATATT